TTCACGGGAATGGCCAGCTTTCCTCGGGGGAGCTGACGGAGAAGCGATCACTGCCCGCAATAGACGTGTCCCGGAGAAACAAGAAGCAGTCAAAACGGGGGAACTGGCTCTGGGGTAAAACTGATTTCCCTTCAAGGGAGGGCGAATCCTCTTCTCACATAGGGAATAGGGGGTATCTTGCCAGACGTGCTTTCCCAGCAGGTTGCACATGCTATGAGCACCCTGCTATGAGCCTTAGGGAGGAGTGAAATGGGACCTGTCATGGAGGAGGTGACAACCAGGGTGAAGCCAAACCCAGCATTCTAAGAATAATCACCATAGGGATAGCCCATGGGGACATAAGCAAAAGCCTATCCACTCGCTAAAAAAGAACAGGAGGAAGAGCAAGTGCATGACATTTCTTCCATTACTGGCAACATCCTTCAGCAACAGAAATACTTGGAAATGTGCCCCCAATTTTCTTCATACAGGACATCGACTCTAACCAGCTCCTTAGCGGACAAAAGCACCAGAGAAACTGATGGTCGTGAATGCAGGAAGTCATGTTCTGGAAATCCAAAACAAAGCATTCTACCTTCTCCACCATCTCGTTCACTCCAGCAGAACTTCCATATGGTTCTCCTTTCATATCCTACTGCACATTCGGAAAGATATCTAAAACTTCATCCTCAGAGGGGTAATTACTCTGTGAATCATTGTGCCCTCATCAATAACCTGTGTGTTCATGACTGGCCCCGTCTTTGTTGACAGACCTGTCTCTTGTGGGTGAAGCTCTGCTCGCAGCACCCAGTACTTGTTGTACAATGGCTGCAATGAACCTGCTTGGCATCTAAAATAACCTTTTGCAGTCTGGTTCCTGATATAATAAGACCAGTATCTCCATTGACCTCTGTCCTTTTGGAGCGGGAATCATGGACCCGAGAGGGAGGGATTCAGTCCCTTCGCCCAGAGCTTCATCCACCAATGCCAGGAACCAAGGAACCCCTGAATCTCCAGTACTGTGCAGTGGTGATCAAGGTGGTCCGGCCTGTCCTCAGGAGTAGGTACACCCATAGGGAAAAGTTCTACTGGGATGGCACTCCTGGGATCATTAGGCATGCTTGCTGGCCACCATCAAAGCGGCATGATGCAAAGGGAACACACAAGAGGTTTCAGGATGTTGTGTGTGGAGGAGACAATTAGCCTCATGGGAAAGCATTTCCATCTGGCCACCTCAGCATGGAACCTTAAATCCCCTGGGATCTCCAGGAAATAACTGGTCGCTGTGTGTTTAAAGCCCACATGCCACGAGGCAGGATAATGTGTAGAAGCCGTGACCAGGGTGCACACATGACCAGTTATTAACCTGAGCACTGCTCCAAGGGAAAGATGGTCTTTTCTTGCCTGTGCACTAGATAGACTTGTGGTAGAAAACTTCTAATACTATGCCTGCATGGCCCTGTGAATAAACAATGAGAAAGTATACATCTTAGAAATCAGTGGCTGACACAGGAAACCTGGAGCATCCCCGTCATCAAATGTTGTGCTATGCACTAGACCTAGGTTCTTATACCACTGCACTTTTTGGCAAATGCAACAACCCCCTTTGATTGTAAATGACAAGGATGCCATTCTCTGTAAGATTCATGTAATAAATGTTCAGCAGAGCCTATAATTTTCCTCATGCTGCTGGATTAATGAAAATTTAAAATGTAGAAATGAAGAGTTTTAAGAGGAATTTAATCATCTCCTTGATAATGAAAGTCTTTCAGTAATGTGAATAGTCACTGAATCCCCAATACCTTTAACTGCTAAACAAGGCTTTCTTATGCGGCCCTGTAGTGTGGTGAATAAATGCTGCAATCTTAGGTACTTTTCCATGTTATTTTTAAGCAATGTACCTGCATCACTCCTGTGGGGAGTCACCATGCTATGGGAGCATGCATGGTAGTTTCTAAGTCAGAAGTGACGGAGGTCAATCTGTCTCATGGGCATATAATTTTTAGGCCCTTATTCAATCTATATAGCAGACATAACATGACCAACTGTTTTTCCTCAGGGAGGTGAGGAAAAACAAACAAAAAACAAAACTCAGTACCAATGTTCACCTAGTTCAGCAAAAACTGAAGGTAGCCAACATATGGCAAGTGGTTCTAGTGAAATTATTGCCTGGTATACATAATATGGCACCATTTATTTCCTCACACAGAAAATATTGTGCCTGGTAAGTGTTCACAGCCTGCATCATATGCTGCATATATGACTGTAAGTGGCCCCGAGGAAAGTGAACACCGAACAAGTCATTCGTATGGAAACCAATCCAATAGGCTGACCTTTTAAGTGGCATCCAGCAAAGGGGCAGGGAATGGGATGACAGAGGACAGCTCATCAAGCACCATGACAAGAAGAGTTGGAGTTTCNTATTTCCTCACACAGAAAATATTGTGCCTGGTAAGTGTTCACAGCCTGCATCATATGCTGCATATATGACTGTAAGTGGCCCCAAGGAAAGTGAACACGGAACAAGTCATTCATATGGAAACCAATCCAATAGGCTGACCTTTTAAGTGGCATCCAGCAAAGGGGCAGGGAATGGGATGACAGAGAACAGCACATCAAGCACCATGACAAGAAGAGTTGGAGTTTCCTGAGCATAATTTTCACTCAGGCACTGGGGAAACCCGTGAAGCAGCAGTTCGTTGACACTAGACCACACTAGACCAACAATAATTTCTGATGTACACAGTAGTTGTAGTGAGTTACATGTGCTGTAACATCGACTAGAAACTGAACGTCATGAACATAGGGACTGATTCCAAGGAAAACAAACCCACTGCTTTCTATAACACACTCTGTATTATTCTCATCTATTGGCCTTCCACCTGGTCCACTTTTTATGTCTTACAGATCATGCTAGAAAATGACTCTAAACAACCCTGAATAGGATAAATACTGGGCAAGTCATTCTGCAGTGGATCAAAACCCGGTTATGTAAGACCAACACATCACGGCAATCAAGCCTGTGTCATGCAGGGGGAGCTGTGTTCATAGGCAACAACAATTGCTGGTCCTCTTAGGGTTCAAAAAAAAAAAAAAAAAAAACAGTGAATCTGGGAAACCAATGACTGACATGCTAATCTTGACAACTTCATTGTCAACAAGTCACGTGGCCTCCACTGGCTTCATGTTCACATCCTACAACACTACTCGACAATGGCAACAATTGGCTGAGTAGGTAAATGCAAGGGAGCTAGTTTTCTGTACGAATCATGCAATGGATTTGAGCCAGGCTTTATAATTTCCATCATGCTGTCGACATGAAGTGAACATTTAAAATGAGTTGACATGAAGCACTTAGGAAGGGAATCACCTCTGTTAGTATGACGTCCTTCCAGTAACGTGAGGAATCACTGAAGTACCAGTACCGTGAATGTTAGACTGCTAGGCCAGTTCATTTTGTCTCACCTAAATTTCTTCTGGGGGGAAAAAAAAAAAAAAAAAAAAAACTCAACCTACGGAACACATCGGTAGTAACAGATCTTCTCTGCTTAAATATTAAGCCCTACATTTCTCCTG